AACTGTTCGTCGCGCTCGGGAACGTTCTCGAGGACCTTTAGTCTCCATCGCAACGGGTGGATGCACAGAGACATCCGTTGGTCTAACGTGATCAAGCATATCGAACCGCGTTGAATGGTTTTTGATCGACTTCGCTGATGCAGCTCAAAGTCCGCAGAAATATCCCAGCGGCGATCACTTGACGCACGACGAACACGCTTCAGATATTTTTATGGAAGGTGGATCCCACACGACTGCGGTTGACTTATGGGCCGTGGGATACCTGGTGAAGACAAGTAAGATTGAACGGGAATGGACTGCGGAGCCCGAAAGAGCGCTTTTCCTGGATCGGTTGATGAACACAGACCCGAGTGCTCGGCCGACGGCAGACGAAGCCTTACAGCTTCTGTCACGTTTTGAACGTGAAGCTGCTGAGCAGGAATCACAGGGCAAGGGTGTGCGCAAGAAGCACAGACGTGCCTGAATTTTTGCATCGCTATGGCACTACCATTACGCGCTGGGACGAGGTACTATGGTACTAACAACAGGAGGTAGTCGATGAAATGAGCAACACACGTTTACTTCGAATGTATGAGAAATCTCGGTTGACGAGAGAAACTCGTTGACACTTGCAGCAGCTATCATGCGGTGCGAATGTGGCCACTGGTTGTCGGATACGCCCGCCTTCACGGCGGCCACCATGATACTATAGTCGGTTAAGTATACCATCGCAGCCTTCTCTATTAATCCCTGAACGCTGAAAATCGTCCCGGTCTGCATCGTCGCCGGCATGTTTGCGTTGAGGGGACGGTGCCAAAGTTGTCAATATCACTCATCGTAATTGTGCCGTAGACGGTGAGTTGAGTGGTAGAATGAAAAGCCGGTCTTTTGCATCTAAATAAGCTCGGAGCAGCGGGAACATCGTGGCACTTGCGCAAACGCCCGAACTTCTGCGTCCACGGACCAGAACGCCGACCACACGGCAGCGCTGTCAAACAACGCACCGTCCACGTCCAGCTCGACCATCGCCAGCAGTGCTTTCCTCACCTTCCCGGCTCTCCACACCATCCACCCACTGCCGCCTCCCCGCTGTTACCGTTGCTGCTGTATCCGCCACCCGCACGCCGCCCTTCCACTGTCGCGAACGTCGCCACCCTTGCTCACCACCTCATTCACTCTGCTCCCTCACGCCTCTCCCACTCTAGCTCGCCACCGTCGCCACCATTGCCGCCACTCCACTCGCTCGCCGTCCGAACCATCTCTCTCTTTTTTAAACTTAAAGTAAAAGTGCAAATTTAAAGAATAAAAGCATAAATTTTAACAAGTACATGCAGTAAGGTTGTCTCCCCCCTAGAAGTAAAAACTAAACGACGGCACTACTGCCCATGTTTGAAACCCATGATGAAATCCACGATAAATCATGGACATGCCCATGATCGGTCAGGTATTTTATTTTGCACCATACGGATCTAAATCCCCAACGCCTACCCTACAGTACCCCATTCTCCGGCTGAAGACGAGTGAACTATAAAGCGTGGCGCCGCCGCCGCCGCCGCTGAAGTCTGCCCCTCCGCTGAAAAAGCCCGCGCGCCCCGCGTAAGCTACCACAGCGATCCGTTGGGTTGTGTAAAGGAGCCGCCGCCAAAACCGTTCGTAACGGACCGATGGTTACGACGCGCAGTTTGAGTGCCAAAAGAACCCGCGAGAGCACGGAGGTCGACATGGACGTGGACCCTGACCAGGAAATGGACGTAAGCCAGGGCCAGTCCACCAGCAAAGCAGAGGACAACAAGGACGAGGAACGCGACGGTGATGGAGATGACAGTGAGGACGCTTCCAGTGCTGAAGACGACAGTGATGAAGTGGCGCCCGCCGATGATGATGCGTTGGACGAGACCAGCGGCGGCCCTCGCCATTACGGCGCTCGCAAACGTGCCAAGCAGGCGACGAGCGTTTGTTCAGACGAGTTGCTAGGCCGCGCAGAGGACAAGTCAGATAGCGCGGCAGAGTCTGACCCTGCGCGTCGACCTCCCGGCAACCACGTCAAGGTGGAGGTCCATGTTGACCCGCCTCAAACGTGGCATGCAAATTGGGACGCGTGGTTGGAATACCTTGAGGTGTACCAGGCCAAAACTCATCAGATGCTGCGGATCAGGGAGGTGCTCACCAACAAGACCAAGAACGAGCGCGTGCTGAAGACCAAACGCGGTAGCAGTGGGGCTGGTGTTGTACCTACGGAGCTCGATCCCTACTTCCGTGTGTACATATGTACACACGGATGGAAGCCCCGCAAGTCGCGAACGGCTGGGAAGGCTGGCAAACGTGCTCGCCGCCAGGTCCGCACGACTGAATGTCCGCTGCGGTTCGTCGTGCAGTGGTGTGAGCAGGGCACCGGCTGGGAATCTCCGTGTTCAAAACGGCGTATGGGTTCACAACCACCCAGTGGGCCACGCAAACATTCAGAACCTACTCGGAGCAGCGTGGGGGTTGGTGCACCTCCACCTGTCAGATTATGTGAATGTGTC